GTGTTGGAGCATTCACAACGTTTGGAGGCAATGTTGTTCCACTGATTAATTGTTCTAACTGTCAAGAAATTTCTCCTCAGTTCTAAGTTGCTTCTCTCCTTGATTAGTTTCCACCCATTGCTTCTTGTTCTGCCCTCGGGTGCCTTGGAGAATAGTTTGACTCCCTCTTCTTTGTGGCAACCTCTGAGATATTGGAACTTTCCTGCTCGCTTTTTATTAACCTGTGTTCCTCACTTTTAACACGTAATTGGATTCCCTCTTCATAGATTGTGAGAAGGAAAGGAAAAAAAATTGCAGAAAGTATCAAAGCAAGGCCTATTGGATCAGAAGAGCACTCCAACTGGGGAATAAGGTGGAAAGCATAATTGTGCAAGAGAGACAATCACTTCTATAAGCAACAACTGAAGCAATTTTTAAAAAGTGGTAACTTTTACTTTGCTGTATGGTGCTAAATCACTGTCTCCCAAGGCAAGTGCTGCCTTAGAAACAATTTATAATGCCATTGTGGTCTCAGTGATAAGACAACCAGGGAGTGGCATTTGCCAATTTCCTGTTGGCCAGCTGCTGTGAGCAGAGCTCAGCTCATTCACCAAGTACTGCCTGCCATGGTCATTTAATTTGTGAAGCAGAAGAGAGTGGACACTGGTCTCTGCAGGGTATCTATCTGCATCATGTCTTCACAAAGTACTATTTATATGCCATCCTTAATATATTCGTGGGCATGCCAGTTTTACACACACGCGCACACATACACACACACATTCTCTTTCTCTGATTATTTAGGAAACACTACAAAGGATTTTTACAGGGATTAAAATAAGTTAAACATAACTGAAACAAGACTTAAGTAATAATGTAATAATTAATTCAATTTGTTAAATCTAGAGTATACAGAAACACACTCCTTCATCTTTTCATTTTGAGACTATAAACATTTCAAAAAATGGTAACGCATATCTGGAATCCATTCTTAAACATCCAAAATCTGTTTATTGTTTCTTTCCATCTACATAAAATGATTGCTTTTGCTGAACTGTACTCTTTTATTACTGAGGGTGGGAGAAATGTACCATTCCACGTGTGCCCTGGAAAACCTCCATGAGGTATGGCTAACTCATTGCCAATGCTGCTGCTCCTTTCTGGCCTTCATTGTGAAGTGGGAGCTGGGTGAAAGTCAGTGCCAATTTCCCGCTTTGGCCCACGTGAAAGGAACACAAACTGATGTCCAAACAGCTGTGCTGGCAACAGACCCAGGATGAAATGAGAGGGCTCTGGATAGGTCAGGCAAGCTGTCATGTGGTCTATATTTTGACACTGCCCGTTTTTCAGAAAACTGGTGAACCAATCTGGTTATTATTAATGTCCCTATACCAGCAACTCTTCCCGGAGGCAACTTGACACATGCCACCCCTTTCGGTACCCATTCACATCAACTAAGCCTCTCCCACCACTGGATGCTGGTAGTTTTTTTCTGCCAGTTAGTGACACTGGCCAAGAGAAGAAATAAAGATAGGGGAACTGGCCAATTAATTGCCCTTAAATTAAACCTCTCCAAACTACTTGCAGCTCTCATTTCTGAGGCAGATTAAAGGCCAGCTATCAAAACAGGACAAGTTATGCCACCTGCTTTCTCTTTTGACTCAAGGACTGGAGAAATGCGCAGTAGCATGGCTGTGAGGAAGGTCCCACAACCATCCATGATTGTGATAATTATTGGATGAAGGGATTTTAGCTGCAATTGAAGTAGGATGTACTCCAAAGACTAAGAAGAAACAGTTGAGTATCACATAGCAATGGTTTCACAGCCAAGCTTATTGAACAAGACAGTTTGGTCTAGAGGTTAAGGCACCAGGCTAGAAAGCAGGAGATTGTGAGTTCAAGTCCTGCCTTAGCCATGAAAGCCAGCTAGATAACTTTGGGCCAGTCACTCTGTCAGCCCAATCCACCTCACTGGGTTTTTGTTATAGGGAAAATAAAAGGAGAAAGGTGTGTTACATGTATTTGCTGCCTTGAGTTATTTATTAGTAAATAAATAAATGTTTTCTCCTAAAACCTTCACATGTGGAATGTATAGGAGTATCTAGTGCAAAGCAATTGTTTTCATTAACAAACTGGTTGATTCACAGGAAAAAGGTTTGAACAGAGAAATGAAGGGAATCTTTTCAATTCTTGATGCAGTATTCTGGTCACCATGGTGTAAAAAAAATGAATCTCTTTGGTATTAAGGTCATATTTGCTCTTGTGAAAAAATGTCAACTCCCCCCCAAATTTATCTGATGCTTTAATTTCTGTTGTTAGGCTGAAACACCCATTATTCACTTCCTTCACCTAGGTTGATCATTTATGTTGCATTCATACCTGAATTTCATCACGTTCTTTTTTATCTGGAATGGCTCTAGCTGCCTGTGCATACTTCTCAAAAACTTTACGTTCTTTCTGCAATTTCCTTGCTTCTTCTTTTTTAAGTTCCTCTATTCGAGCAAGCTCTTGTGTTTTATGGTGTTCAAAGGCAGATTTTTCTTTCCTGAAGGATTATAGAACAAAAATTACAAAATATTTATCACACTAAAATCAGATATCACAATGTAACTTGGAAACATTAGTCCATTTTTTTTAAAAAAAGATGTGCACTGAAGCTGAACTCTTTAAAGATTTTTAGAAAATCCTTTTCATTTATTTATAATAATAGGCTTGAGATATTTTCAAAATCTATCCATAGATTGTTGGCTGGAGAAATAAACAAAAGAGAATTTATATTTATAATTCTCCTTGCTAAATCAACAATTGTTCAAAGTAAAAATTCTTAACTGATCATTGGATACTGTGCTAATGTATGATCAATTTTTTTTTAGAAAAGGCCCTTATAATATTTGAATATTAAATTCATACATTAGTTATATTATTTTTAATTCTGGAAAAAGTTACATACTTTGACAAGACATGGAAACAATGACTGAATTTTGACATATAGTGTTCCAGAACATCAAATAAAATACAACCCTACCTGTTAATGTATTTGGAGTAAATGAGGAGCCCAAAGTCTCTTGAACAATAGGAGCATAACTAAATCATCTCTGCATAGATGTGGAATAAAGGAAGAAAAGACTACAGGGAGAAACATAATTTAGATCATTTAGCCTGTAGAGACAGAACTTACATTACCTAATATTTTCCAGGGCAGTTTCATGTTCTTCTCTAAGTTTTGATAGGGATGCATTTTCAGTCCTGAACCTTTCAATTTCCATTTCCAATTCAACAAGCTTCTCTTTCAAGAGCTGTGAACGCACACTCTCCCCTAAATAGGAATAAATTATATACAACTTTTGAATATGTATCAAATCTCATCTACTCATCTCATCTTAAAATGGGATTAATACCTAGGGCTTTGCTGAGGATTTTATAAGGTCAGTGGAGTTTTTTAAAAAGCATTTATTTCCAAGAAATAAACCCTCTAGTTGTAGCTATTATAATTACAGAACCGTAAAATTGGAGAGGTTCTAACACAGTGATGGCTAACCTTTTTGTCATTGCATGCGGAAAGAGCGTGTGTGAAAGCGCACCAGTGTGCCAGCACTTATAATGTAAAGCACGTGGGGGGGACCTGGGCACCACTCCCACCACCCAAGCATGTGCGCATATCCTTCCCCGCACCCTGTTTTGAGCCTGGAAGGCCTCCTGCACCAACCTGGAAGCCAAAAGGAGGTATGGGGGGGAGGGTGCGCAAGCCCCCCAAATGCAATACAAGTGCCCCCCCTCACATGCACTCTCCACATGCACCTGCCCTCCACACCATGTGCAGCAGGGACCTGCAGACTAGCTGGCCAGTGGGGGGCATGCACGTATGCACGGTGGAGCTTCCCGCAGAGAGGGCTCTGCATGCCACCTGTGGCACGTGTGCCATAGGTTCGCCATCACAGTTCTAACAGGTCATGAAGTCCATGCCCCTATGCACTGCAGGACTCACTATCCCATCTTCACTAGATCATTATCCAGCCTCTGAAAACCTCCAGTGAAGGGGTTTTTTCACTAACCTATTCCATAGATGATTGAGAACTGATAGTTTTTTTCCTAATGTTCAAGGTGGATTTGGCCTTTTCAAGACTCATTTCATTAGTTCTACTCTTACCTTCCGGAGAGATGAAATAAGTCTGAACAATGTAACCATCATTCAGATCTCTGAAGACAGCTGTTCTGTCCCCTCTCCATTTTCTCTTCTTTGTATGCCACTTTTGTTGGCTATTTATTTTGGTAAGTGGTTCCCTCTTTACGAGTCAAAGAATTGACTTCTTATAGAAAATAACATGAAAATATAAAATGGCTCCAACAAATCATGTCATTCACAGATCACAAACGTGTTCAAAAATTAATGATGCTCAAGAGATAAGAGGCAATAATCATAATGATACATTTCAATCTGTAATTTTTCTGCACTATTGAGAACTTGGTCCCGAAGCCATAAAGGAAAGACACAAGAATCTATTTAGTACAAAAGCTATAATTGCCATAACGTGTTCCTTGTATTTACACTGAGAGCCTATGCACCAGAGACAAATTCTTTATGCATCCAATCACACTTCGCCAATAAAGAATTATATTCTATTCTTTTCTTTAACTGGACAAAGTGATAAATCATAGGATGACAATTTCTGTCCCAGGGTACTAATGGGCTGAATTACATTATGTGTCCAAAGTCCAGGAACCATGACTTTCATGGAATTGAAATTGGGCACATTTCATATAACATTTTCTGACATCTTATCATGAAACAGTTGGTGACATAATACAAAATGTCATAAAACATTTCCTGTGCTTATCTTTGATTGCACAATACCAGGGGTAAAAAAGTCAAGGTCCGTGGGTGGGATCCAGCCCGCAGGGTGCTTAAATCTGGCCCACGGGGCTGGGTTTGAAACAGGAAAGGACTGGCTCGTGGTGCCTCTGGCAGCCAAAATGGCAGCCTCCCCATACCACGTTTTGATTGGCAAAGTATTGTAGGAGGCCATGTAGGCCAAAATATGGGGCACCCGTCCCATCTCCCCCGCCGCCTGGTTGGCCCATGGAGGAGAACTACAATGCTAATCCAACCCTTGAAGAAATCCAGTTTGACACTCCTGCACCATATGGTTCCTCATGAGCTATTTTCAAGGCAGATACATTTCTGAATTTTACAGTGAAGTTAGAACATTTGAAGTTCTGTCACTGAGCAATCTGCTAAGGAAATGACTAAAAGGATGACCTTCCTAAGGAGTCACGGGTTGTCTAGTTTTAATTAAAACCATTCATGACAGACTGCAAAATATGCATCAAATAGCCTCTATATGTCTTACATAAAATTGCTGCAGAGTTTGAAAATGATGCTTTCTAAATTAATAATTAATTTAATTATTAAGTAATTTTTGGCTCTTAACAGTGGTTTGCAGTGCAATGAATCTACTTGCCATGTAAAAAGAACATACATATATAGGATATTTTGTATAAAATGATATAGGGCTAATTCTTACATACAGTAACTGATTTTTCTCTCTCACTTACCACTTGATTCATCCTGAGTCATGTTTGATTTGCTCTCATGTCTTGATTGTGCATCTGCCTTCGGTTTAGGTTTTAGGGAAGGAAAGAGTTTTAGCATCAGATCTGATGTAGGAGGCTCAGTTTCCTCGTTAACTGTCATATTTTGTTTCAGCAAAGCATCTCCTTTCTTCACCATGGCAATCTTCCTCTTTATTACTTTATCAGGAAAAGGTGTCTTAGAACAATCAGGAGTCAGAGGTACTTTAGAGAGCATATCCCCATCTGGAATGTGTGTACACAGATTGCTATTCTCAAAGTCAGTCCATGAGATTTCATCATCAAACTCAAATTTATTTCTGTCCCTACAGAACACACTTGGATATGTACTGTCTCTACATAGCTCATTAGACTGGCCACCGTCCTCCTTTTCCATTGAAACGGGACTCTTCGTGTTCTCTGTGCTCTCCAATTGTTCTCTGCACTCTGAAAATTCAGGACAGTTGCTTTGGTTTTTCAAAGTCATCTTCTCAGCTCCCTCGCTTGCAGGTTTTATGGTGATCTCAAAGTCTTCTTCACTTTCAGAAGTCATCTCACTGCTTTCATCAGAGTTTTCTTCATCTAATTCAGAATCTTGACATTCAGCCGAGGAAGAAGATTCATAGTCAACTGAACTTCTATGAAACATGAATGGTTCTGGTACCTGGGAATTATCCTTGTGGCTTTCCTGGATAGATGCTTGGGAAACCCATTTTTTTCCGTTCAGGTTAGCTGCAGCTGTGACATTTAGCACATTCATCTGCTGCTCCTTCAACCTTGGTTTAATCGGCGTAGAAGACAGTCTATGCCCTGAGGAAATTTGTTGGCCTTGATCCAAGATCCTTATTACGAGTGAAGAGTTACTGGCAAAAGATACTTCATCAGCAGCCTGCTCCAAAAACAAAAATTCATCCAATTCCTTTTTTTCTTTTTCTTTTTCGGCTTCCCAATTTCCCAACTTCTTTTGGAAAGAAAGTTCAAAAGACAGCTCTTGGTCTCTTTCACGTGGATTTATAAGAAATTCAGTTACTTCTGACGGTGCTTCTTTTCCTGCTGGTAACTTGGCATCAATTTCATGCAGCTTTGCAAGTGGCCTTACATTTTCTTCATTCTTTTCTTTTTCTCCATTTATTTCTGGTCTTAGAGAGTTTCTCAGTACTTCCTTTTTCATTTCATTCGTGTGTTGCCTTGCAGATGAAGAAATACCTTTTCCAGTGCCATTTCTGAGTCTCGTCGTCTTTCGAGCAGAAAAAGACAAATTCTTTTTGGTTTTAATATTCTGATTTACAAGTTTAGGCACAAAGTTGTCAGAAATTTTATTGGACGAGGCAGTTTTCCGATGAAGCGGCTGTTTGTCTGCTTTAATTGTATTTTTAATTTCGAAGGGATCAGGCTGTAGAATTGTCTTACTTTCTTTTTCTTTAGCTACTTTATATTTGGCATTGGTATATCTATTTAAGCCTTCACCTCGTTTTAAAAATGGTTGCTTTGAAACTGGTTTCTGGAATTTTTCAGCAACCTAAAAAAAAAGCAATTATATATATGTAAGAAATTATATCAAAATAATCTGTTCAGATTCCAGATTTTCTACAAACTGTACACCTACATGAAAAAAAAAATTATCACATTATGAAACAGACACATTTTGTATACTGTAACTATTAACCTTGAGAGTTGCTTCTTCATTCAACCTCTGTTCTTCCAACCGTATCTGCTCTTCTAGAAATTCTTCAAATGTTTGCTTTCTCTCTTGCATACTAGCAACAATAGGCCTGTTTCAAGAGAATCAAAACGGAACAAAATAATTTTGTATATTTTTCTTGTTGTAATTTATTAATTAAAAGAATTAAAATTGTTAAATCCTGCAACCCTGTCCTAATGCCAAGGTGGCGCAGTGGTTAAATGCAGCACTGCAGGCTACTGCTAGATCAGCAGGTCAGCGGTTCAAATCTCACCGGCTCAGGGTTGACNAGCCAAATACATTTCAGAATCAAGCCAAACTTTGGGGGTTTAAAATGAGAGCTGACTCATGTACACCCACTGAAAGGGTCTATGACGACTCACAGCGGCCAAGGGGGCATGGCTGTATGCCTGTGTGCAGCTGGCCATGCCCACCCAGCCACCCCGAGTCATCTGTGCCAAGTGGGCTGCACCTAGTTTTTGTGCTGACCTGGTGAGGCTGACCCAGCCACGCCCACCTGTCTGCAGCCAGATGGCCATGCCCACCCTTCCACACCCACTCAGCCATGTCCATCTGGCTGCTGTGAGTCTTCCCACTCTGCCACTGAAAGGATAAAGGTCGAAGCTGTATCAAAGATTACTTATATTTAACTAAGCACTGCAGACTTGCTGTTTGGCCTCCTGGAATCAGTGGCCAGCAGATATTTCGTGACCTTCCTCTCATTTGAAGAACACTGTGCTATTTTTTTTTTAAAAACCCAGTCTGTTTTGGGGTGATTTTATGGCACTCTGTTTTAATAATGGTTTAACTGCTGCTGCTATTTTAATGCTGCTTAGTGCTGTGGTTTGCTCTTTTATAGCTTGTGCTCTTCTACTGTTTATTTAATCAAAAGCTTTCTAAATAGCTCTGGAAAGGTAAGTGCCCTAAAATGGAGAACCTATTCTTTTAATGCTAGGATTTGCTCGGCATGTTAAAAACCAGGTTCTAAACATGGGCAAGGGCCAAGAGGAAGAGGGGCGAGTCCCAGAAGTATCTGAAAGGCTGAAGTTACCCAGTTTCCTTCCATGTCACCCCATAATGAAGACGCCGTTTACTCGGGAAGGTTTCTGAAGGCTGTGAAAGAGATGCTGGTAAGACACATTTTGGGGAATTTTTTTGCACCTTTTTCTTAAAGAATGACTGTTGTATTTCTTAAATACAAATACAATAGCAGAGTTGGAAGGGACCTTGGAGGTCTTCTAGTCCAACCCCCTGGCTAGGCAGGAAACCTTATACTGTTTCAGACAAATGGCTATCCAACATCTTCTTAAAGACTTCCAGTGTTGGGGAATTCACAACTTCTGGAGGCAAGCTGTTCCACTGATTAATTGTTCTAACTGTCAGGACGTTTCTCCTCATTTCTAAGTTGCTTCTCTTCTTGATTAGTTTCTGTCCATTGTTTCTTGTTCTACCTTCAGGTGCTTTGGAGAATAGTTTGACTCCCTCTTCTTTGTGGCAACCACTGAGATATTGGACCACTGCTATCTTTTCTCCCCAGTCCTTCTT